ACAAGGTGGCCGCCCCCACATCGTCACAAGATGGCCGTCCCCATGTCACAAGATGGCTGCCCCCATGTTATCACAAGATGGCCAGCAGGGGAGGGCAGTTAGGCGTCAATCAGGCTGGCAGGTAGAAGCGGTTAGGGGCAATCAGGCAGGCAGGCAGGTGAGTGGTTAGGAGCCAGCAGTCCCAGATTGTGAGAGGGATGTCCGAAACTGGCAGTTGGACATCCCCCAAGGGGTCCCAGATTGGAGAGGGTGCAGGCTGGGCTGAGGGACACCCCCCCATGCACGAATTTTGTGCACCGGGCCTCTAGTAGTTAATAATAATGGATACTGGGTGTGGGGTATAAGGGAACACTATATTATCTTCATATCTTTTACGTACAACTAAAACTATTCTAAAATAAAATTGTTACTTAAAGAATCAACCACAATAATTCCCTGCATTAACAGGAAAAAGGAGAAAACATATTTTCTCAGTAGATGTAGAAACAGCATTAGAGAAGATTCATCTTTCATTTACAATGGATTTCTTAAATGAAGTTTAGTGAGGAAGTCATATTTTTTTAGAGAAAGAAAAATTAATTTGACAAATCTCTATATATAAAAGCCTAATATGCTAAGTGTCCATTTGACCATTCGACCAGTCACTATGACGCACACTGACCACCAGGGGACAGACGCTCCGACCAGTAGGTTAGCTTGCTGCTCTGGTCTGGTCCAGCCAATTGCAACTGGGTGAGATGGGCCGGACACACCTGGAGTCCTCCCGTGGCCCCTCCCCAGCCCCAATCGTGCACCCGACCTCTAGTATATTAATAAAAACCTCTAACAGCCTGGTCAGCATGGCTCAGTGGTTGAGCATCAACCTATGAACTAGGAGGTCATGGTTTGATTCCTGGTCAGAGCACATGCCCAGGTTGTGGGCGCAATCCCTAGTGAGGGGTGTGCAGGATACAGCCGATCAATGATTCTCTCATCATTGATGTTTCTCTCTCCCCCTCTTCCTTCCTCTCTGAAATCAATAAAAATATATTAAAACATAAAACAAAAAAACCTATAGCAAACATCATATGGTGAAGTGTTGAAAGTTTTCCTTAGTGTTTGGAATCAGACAAAGTTTCCAGCTGTCAATACCTCTATGCCATATCATATTAGAAGTAGTATCCAAAGCAGTAAAGCAAGAAAAAGAAATACAAGGTATAAAGATTAGAAAGGAAGAAATAAAACTCATTATTGATATGAATATGTACAGGGAATTAAGAGAGTCTATAGATTATTAGAATCAATAAGTGCAGGTAGTAAAGCTGCTGGATAAAAAATCAGTAAAATCATTTGTATTCCTATTTACCAGCAACGAACAAAATGAAGATTTTTTAACATGCTATTTACAATAAATTTAACAAATGCTGTGTGATACCTAAGCAACAAATATAAAATATTGTTAGATAAATTGAAAGAGATCTAAATAAGAAATACCATATTTATAGATTGTTGGAAGATTCAGTATTGGAAAGGTATAAATTATTCCCAAATTGATATATGGATTCATAGTCAAATATTAACAATTTTATTCTAAATTTTATATGGAAATGCTAAGGTTAGATTCTAAAGTTCGTATGGAAATAGCTAAAATAGAAGAAGAATAAGGTAGGAGGATTTGTTCTATATGATAGGAAGGTTTACTATAAGGCTAGAGTAATTAGAATTATTAGTGCAAGGACAGACAAGCACTAAAACAGACTCGAGAATCCAGAAATAGATCCACACATATATGGACACTTGATTTGCATCAGACGTGGCACTGCAGAGTTGTAGGGAAATGACAGTATTCTTCATAGATTGTTTGAGAATATTTATTTGAGTAAAAATTAAACCTGACCCCTATCATATTACAGGCACAAAAGTAAATTCCAGATGGATCAATACATTCAATATGAAAGGCAAAACAATAAATCTTCTAGTATTTATATTATAGAATATCTTCATGATCTTGGGTTAGAGGAAAATTTCTTAAACAGGATGCAAAAAGCACTAACCATACAGGAACTATTAATAACTTGGACTGTGTTCAAAGTAAAGACTGTGTTTATCAAAAAATACTATTGAGGGTAGGAGAGGAGCCCAGGCGGGGTAGCTCAGTGGTTGAGCATCTACCTATGAACCAGGAGGTCATGGTTTGATTCCCGGTCAGGGCACATGCCTAGGTTTCGGGTTTGATCCCTGGGGTGGGGTTGGGGAGATGGTGCAGGAGGCAGCCGATCAGTGATTCTCTCTCATCATTGATGTTTCCATCTCTCTCTGCCTCTTACTTCCTGTCTCTGAAATCAATAAAAGTATTTTTTGAAAAAAGATTGGGAGAGGATATTTGCAGTGCAACAAAGAAAGAACTTGCCAAAATATATAATGAACTACATAGAAACCAATGAGATTTGAACAAGCACTTCACAAAAGAGGATATCCAAATGTCCAAAAAAATATGAAAAGATATTCAACCACATTGGTAATTGTGAAAATGCAAATTAAAACAATGGATGATTTTAGACACTCACCAGATTGTCTCTAAAATTAAAGATGAATAAAACCAAATGTTGGCCAGGTTGTGAAGTAGCAGGAATGTCAGATCCTGAAGTTTAAATTGGTACATCCACTTTTGTAGATAATGCCAAACTTTATCCAAAGTTGAACATACATTTACCCTATAACTGAACATTTTCATTCTAGAAATATACTTAACAGAAATACATGCAGTGAAGAGAAAGGCACAGGAATATTCACAGCAGCCTAATTCAAAATAGCCAAAGATTAGAATAAGCCCAAATGACCACTGACAGTAAAAAGGAGAAATAAGTTGTGCCATATTTATATAGTGGAGTTGTATACAATAATGACATTGAACTACAGCAACAGGAAAAGCATGGGTGAATGTTGAACAAAAGAAGCTGGACAGAAATGCATATTTTTTTAAAAAATATATTTTATTGATTTTTCACAGAGAGGAAGAGAGAGAGATAGAGAGTTAGAAACATCGATGAGAGAGAAACATCGATCAGCTGCCTCCTGCACACTCCCCACTGGAGATGTGCCCGCAACCACGGCACATGCCCTTGACCGGAATCGAACCTGGGACCTTTCAGTCCGCAGGCCGACGCTCTAACCACTGCGCCAAACCGGTTACGGCCAGAAATGCATATTTGATTGTTCCAATTCTATAAAGTTAAAAAACGAAAACGAGTGCTTGTGGATGCATGCTTACATGGTAAAACTATAAATAACAGTAAGAAGATGATTTCAATGAAATTCAAGAGAATGATTTTTGGGGAGAAGACAGAGACTATAATTATTAGGAGGGGCTGGCAAGGTTCTATTTATTGACCTGAGTGGTGATTATATGGGCATTTGCTTTTTTTTTTTTTTTAATATATTTTATTGATTTTTTACAGAGAGGAAGGGAGAGGGAGAGAGAGTTAGAAACATGGATGAGAGAGAAACATCCATCAGCTGCCTCCTGCACACTCCCTACTGGGGATGTGCCCGCAGCCAAGGTACATGCCCTTGACCGGAATCGAACCTGGGACCATTCAGTCCGCAGGCCGAAGCTCTATCCACTGAGCCAAACCGGTTAGGGCTGCTTTTTAATAAATCACTGGGTTACATGTTTGTGTACTTTTCTGTATGTCTATCATACTTCACAATAACAAAGGTTAAGAAAGTACCTGGTCAGAGTGGCTCAGTGGGTTGAGCATCATCCTGTACACTAAAAGGTTGCTGGTTCAATTCTCAGTCAGGGCATATATAGAAGACAGCCAATAGATTCTCTCTCTCTCTCTCTCTCTCTCTCTCTCTCTCTTTCTAGGTCTTTGGTTGAGGACTTTTTTTTAAAAGTTAAGAAACTTATAAACCTACAAACCCAGAGATTTTTATAGGACTTTCTGAAGCTAGAAAACACATTATTATTAACTGACTTTGCTGATTCATGAAAGCTAAAGTTGAACTTACTAATGGGGAATGCTGAGCTCCAGCACAGAATCCTCAAAAAGCAAAGGAATTGGTAGCACCAGTTGAGAGAATTGGGGACTGTAGGTTGGGTGGGGGAAGGGAGATGGGCACTGAGCCTAAATAAGGAGACTGGGTGAAGCTTTTGGAAAGGCAGTTAAAGTCCTGGTTGCTAGTGAGCAACTGCCTCTTCTCCAAGTCTGGAGGCTAATCTCTAAAAGGTAAACCAAACAATTTCTGGAGGGGGGATACCGTGCAATTGAGGGATCAGTACCTTACCAAAAGAATTGAAATAAGTGACTATATGCATGCATACTCAATACTGGTAGAGAGAATTCTCTAAAACAGGCCCAATCTGATCACTCTATCTAAAGCTCCAAGTCAACAGTCCACCCACCAACTCTGAAAGCTTTTGAGTTCCTCACTCTTAATCATGAGTAAACATGAAGGATTGCCAGACACTCAGGAAGGTATCTAAGAGACAACAGCAAAAAGCAACTTGAATGAACTTGAGATTCTGAAGAAAATATAAAACTTAAAAAAGGAAAAACTGTAATATCTCTAGAAAGATATAGAAATATATTGAATCCATTAAAAAATGTAAAAAAAAAATGTAATGCTCTTATTAAGAGGATTGTAAGCTGTTTGTTCTGTCCTTTGTTTTTGTTCCTTGTTTTCAATGTCATTTGGTCTACAAAAAAAATATCTTTTTTTGTGTCTAATTTTATTTTCATGATCTCTGGGGATAAAACATATTGGATAATAATAGATGTGAATTAGTATAAAACCATAAACATTCAACAAGTGGAAAAATGACTTGACAAGAAGTCCATAATTGAACATTCTGTCAGGATGCCGGGGGGTTGTTTTCTGAGCTGATCAAGATAACAGCCTGCTTCTCCCATTGCATTTCACTTTGATTTTTTCTCTCTCTTCCATGTAAACTTAAATGCTCTTCCCATATTCCCTATCTCCATCTCCTTGTTTCTTGGTGTCTCTTCTCCCTGAAGATCACTACATTTCAAGCTATCAGAAAGGTATCATACTAATGTGTTAAGAGCTTAATATTCACTGTCTGTCCGACTAAAAAGTCTATCAGACTTTTTTAGTTGTAGTTGAACACCTTCAGACAGGGTCTTCATCCTGCCTTTCTGTTTTGATGTATATGTTTTCCCTGGACCTGCTGTATGATCCTGCAGGATATCGAGAGCTGGGGGATATGGGAGGTGGGGGCGGGGGCGTGAGGAGGGGGAAGCCCCATTTCTTTTTCTGGCTGTTGAGTGTTGTCACATGGTGCATGCTGGACCTTGGCTTCTCATGTGTGAGCTGTTTTCTGAATCTTAGATGAGAAAAGGCCATGAAATCATGCATTCACTTTTGTGATGTTGTTTATGAAAAGCCTCAACCCATCATCATGATTTGTATTGCACAGTTGTCAATGGTAGGAAATCCTCGCCAGTTTGGAAGTGAGGATTATAGAGTGAACGTAGCCGTAGCCCTCACTAAGTTCTGGAGGCGCCTGATGCTGTGTTTGCATGCAGAAGACAGCTGCTCAAATCAATACTTGCCATTCGCAGGCCAACCCTGCGTCCTAAGGTGGCCCACAGCTTTCTCAAAAGAGATCTTTGCTGTCGCAACTGTCTTTGTTTATATGTGTGTGTTACACTCTTCTCTGTGTTCTACATTTCAGAACCGCAAATAAGTTCCTTCCTCTCATAGATGTGCCCATGTGGCCCCTCCATTTTTTACTTCATCTTTTTCTCTTGTGGTTATTTTTTTTCTCTTGCTCCTCAGAACTTCCTGAGATTTTTATTTCAACAAACCTGAGCCTTGATTTCTTTTTTTTTTTTATGACAGTTTCTTTAACTTAGAAAGCTGCTTCATCCTGTATTTTTTAAACTTAATATGTTAACACATTCCTTTAATTCACTAATTCTTTGTATTTTTAAAGGACTCACTGCAGTTCGAAAGGAGATCATCAAGAATAGAATCAGAGCCATTGGGAAGATGGCACGGGTCTTTTCAGTTCTTCGGTAAGGATGTCTGTCGTTAAAGTGTGGGAATGAAAGCATTTGAGAGTACATTAGAAGCTGGTTTCGGAACAGAATTTTTAGAATTAGAATTTGGTATTAGAACTGTAAGTCAAGTGCAGATTAGAATCAGATCTATATGTTAGAATGACTAGCAATGTTCTGGTAAACATTCACTTGGTATGAACTCAAATGCAGTAGCTTAGTGTGGATTCTGGAGCCAGGTTACCTATGAATACATCCTGGCTCTGTATGAATACATCCTTAGCTGTGTGATCTTATGCCTCATTTTTCTTGTCTATAAAAGAGTGATTAAAAACAAAACCTGCTTTATATGGTTATTAAGAGGATTAAATGAGATAATATATGGGAAGCATTAGAATAACACCTGGTTATTAAGTGTCCTTAATTGAAAAGTAAGACCTGGCAGATTCTTTAAAATTGGAATATTTGGAGAAAATATCCCTTTCTTTGGTTCAGGGAAGGGGCAGGGAGAAGGAGAACCTGTTCTCTATCCCTATGCATCGTAACTTCCTTTAAGTACCTTTGAATTGCCGAGTGGTAAACACCTGGCATTAACCCAGGGCTTTGCTCTTCCTTCGCAGGGAAGAAAGTGAGAGTGTGCTGACTCTCAAGGGCCTGACTCCTACAGGGACACTCCCTCTGGGTGTCCTCTCAGGGGGAAAGCAGACTATTGAGACAGGTGAGTATGAGGAATGCTCCTTTCAAGGAAGGGGTGCTCCTGTTACCTAGCAGTCAGTTAAAATGAAAAATTGGGGCTCCCTCAATAAAAATATGAAATCTTGCCATTTGTGACAACATGGATGAAGCTGGAGGGTATTATGCTAAGTGAAATAAGTCAGACTGAGAAAGACAAACACCATATAATTTCACTTATATGTGGAATATTTTTAAAAAATTAACAAACTAAACAGACTCATAGATACAGAGAACAAACTGATGGTTATCAGAGGGAAGGGGGAGGAGGGGGGCACAAAGGTGAAGGGGGAGAAAGGTACAAACTTCTAATTATAAAATAAGTCACGGGGATGCAATGTACAACACACGGAATATAACCAATAATATTGTAATAACTATGTATGGTGACAGATGGTTACTAGACTTATCATGGTGATCACTTCATAAGGTATATAAATGTAGAATCACTATGTTGTACACCCGAAACTAATACACTATTAAATGTCAACTATACTTTAATTAAAAAATAATTTTTTAAATTGGGACTTCTTTTAATAAATGTTACTGGAGCAACTGGATGTTCTACTGGGGGAAAATTAATCTTGACTCTTCTCTTCATATACAAAATATCAATACAAAATGAATTACAACTTAGATGTAAAAGGTAAAAGCAGTAAAACTCCTCTAAGAGAAAGAGTGGAGAATAGGCATTGAGGAGCTAAAGAGCCCTTAAATAGAACACAAAAAGTACTAATCTTAAAAGAAAAAATAATTAAATTTTATTAAAATTAAGAATTTCTATTCACAAAAGTGCATGATTAAGAAAGGGAAAAGGCAAATGATAAATTGGGAGATTTTTGCAATACATAGTCTGACAAAGGACTTGTATTCAGAATATAATACATAACTATGACTCAATAAGAAAAATGCAAGCAATCAATGTTTTTAAAATGGTCCAAAGAGGCCGAAACCAGTTTGGCTCAGTGGATAGAGCGTCGGCCTGCGGACTGAAAGGTCCCAGATTCGATTCCGGTCAAGGGCATGTACCTTGGTTGCGGGCACATCCCCAGTAGGAGATGTGCAGGAGGCAGCTGATCGATGTTTCTCTCTCATCGATGTTTCTAACTCTCTATCTCTCTCCCTTCCTCTCTGTAAAAAATCAATAAAATATATTTTTTTAAAAATGGTCCAAAGAGTTTAACTGGCACGTCACAGAAGAGAGTATCAAAATGAAAAAGTCTGACAAGTGCTCGCTTTGGCAGCACATATACTAAAATTGAAACAGAATATTAGCATGGCCCCTGCACAGGAATGACACACAAATTTGTGAAACATAAAAAAACAACAACTGACGATACCAAGTGTTGGTGAGTTTGTGGAAAACTAGCAACTAGATACATTGCTGGCCGGCTTGTTCAACCACTTTGGAAAACTTTACTGGGCAGTAAAGCAAAACATGTCTACCCCATAACCCAGCAGTCCCACACCTGGTATTTATCAAAGAGAAATTAGTGCATATATCCCCCAAAGGTTGTGCATTAGAATGCCCACCTTAGCTTTATTGGAATAGCCCCTAATGGGAAACAACCCACATGTCCATCAATAAATAGTAGAATAGATAAATATGTTATATGTATATAATGAGCTATTAACAATAAAAAATAGCATTACAAATACATGCCAAACATGGTTAAATCTCACAGACATTATGGTGAACTAAAAAAAACTAGACCCAAAAGGACACTGACTGTCTGATTTATATGATGTTCAGGACCAGGCACACTAATCAGTGATAATAGAAGTCAGAATGGACTTCCTTTAGAGGGAGAGTATTGGCCCAGAAGGGACACAGGGGACTTCTGGAGTAGGAATGTTCTATATCACTCTCTGGGTGGTAGTTACACAGGGATATATATACTTTATTTTTTTGGGTAGAGTTTTTCAGAGAGGGTGTTTGTCTCTTTGCCTACAAGCCATATCCTACTCCAGTGCCACAGTCACCTCTCCAAGCAGAGTGTCCCTTCTAAAAATTATATGGGTATTGACTTCTAAGGAGAGGGCTTTGTGGAACCCTGGAATGGAAAGATTGATATTTGGTAGGTTAACATAGATCTAGTCAAGCAACGGGAAGAAACATGAGATCATGTTATTGGATGACTAATTCTGGGCATGAAAAGTGGAGTTGAAGCATTAGCAAATCAAACTAGAGTTTCATTGCCTTTTTGTCCTCCCCCCTTGTTGTATTGAGTTGTTTCTACTTAAGTTTTTTCTATTTTCTTTGTCATCTGCCACTTAGAGGAAGTCTCAGTTGCACAGGTTCATTGACAAACTCTGGAGCATTAGTTGAATAAGACCTTTCATTTTTCATACAACTTTACTTGGAGAGCTTTCAATCAACAATAGCCCATATTACCTTATAGCATATACTCATTTAGGCCCCACCTTGTTCCAAGAGGGACTGGAGTAAATTACAGTATACGCACAGCAAGTGAAATAAAATAAATATACTTGGAAATTGGAGCACAAAACAAACAAAAAAGCCACTAGGCAGCCATAGATGTGATCTAAGCTTTTTAGTAGCCAAAATAAAGAGGGAAGCCAATAAATGAATAAGATTCATAAAGACAATAAGATAAAAAACAGATCAGTTATAAAGTGGACTACATCAGAATTAAAAACTTTTGTGCTGCAGCGAATGGAACCATGAATAAGTGAAAAGGGTCCTAACCAGTTTGGATCAGTGAATAGAGCGTCAGCCTGTGGACTGAAGAGTCCCAGGTTCGATTCCAGTCAAGGGTGGGCTCAATCCCCAGGAGGGGGCGTGCAGAAGGTAGCTGATCAATGATACTTCTCATTGATGTTTTTATCTCTCTCTCCCTCTCCCTTCCTCTCTGAAATAAATAAGTATTTTTTTAAAGAAAGAAAGTGAAAAGCAACACACAGAATGGTTGAAAAGAAAGGCCAAATAGCTCAAATTTTAAAATTGGTAAAAAAAATTTAATAGACATTTCCCACAGAAATACATATAGTCAATAAGCACATGAAAAGATGTTCAACATCATTAGACATCAAAGAAATACAAATCAAAACTATAATGATATATCACTTTACACACAGTAGGATAGCTGTAACCAAAAAGACAGGTAATAACAAGTGTTGGTAAGAATGTGTAGAAATTAGGACCCTCATATACTGCTGGTGAGGGTGTAAAATGGTGCAGCCCTTTAAAGCTAATCTGACAGTTCCTTAGATGATTACACATATAGTTACCATGTGACCCAGCGGTTCCACTCCAAAGTTGTATATCCCAGAGAAATTAAAATATCCAAACAAAAAAATATATTTAAATGTTCATAGCATTCATTGTGATAGCCAATAAATGGAAACAACCCAAATGTCCATCAACTAATGAATGGATAAACAAAATGTGGTATATCCCTACAATGGAATACTGTCTATATATAAAAGGCTAAGTGACCGACCGTAAATCTGTCCAACCAGCTGGTACATATGTTGCGTACTGGCAATTTATTTATTTTTTAAAATATTTCTTTATTGATTTCAGAGAGGAAGGGAGAAGGAGAGAAAGATAGAAACATCAATGATGAGAGAGAATCATTGATTGGCTGCCTCCTGCACACCCCTTACTGGGGATTGAGCCCACAACCCAGGCATGTGGACCCTTCAGTCCGCAGGCTAACGCTTTATCCACTGAACCAAGCCGGCTAGGGCCGTACTGGCAATTTAAAAATAAACGTTGACCCTCGGTGGATTAAGCTTCCTCTCGGGCACCAAGAGGTCACTGGTTTGATTCCCAGTTTGATTCCCTGTCGGGGCACATGCGTAGGTTGTGGGCTTGATCCCAAGTAGGGAGTGTGCAGGAGGCAGCTGATCAATGTTTCCTCTCTCATTGATGTTTCTATCTCTCCCCCTCCCTTCCTCTCTCTCTAAAAAAAATCAATAAAAACATCTAAAAATCAATTAAAACATTTTTAAAAAATAAATGAATAGCCCTAGCTGGTTTGGCTCAGTGGATAGAGTATCGGCCTGAGAACTGAAAGGTCCCAGGTTTGATTCCGGCCAAGGGCACATGCCCGGCTGTGGGCTCGATCCCCAGTGGGAGGCTTGTGGGAGGCAACCAATCCATGATTCTCTCTCATTATGGATGTTTCTATCTCTCTCTCCCTCTTCCTTCCTCTCTGAAATCAATAAAAATATTTTTTAAATAAATAAATAAATAATAATAAAAATAAACGTTGACTCACACATGTGCGATACATATAAAGCTCTCGCTGGTGCCAATCTCACATATCAGTATACAGGGAGATATTAGAATAAGTTTAATCAATTTATCAGTCATTGTTTTTACCAGTGTTTTTATATCATGTTTTTAGTGTTATCATGTTGTTATTATTTATTTATCAATTTACATATTATTTTCATATACATTTTACTAATTTTCATCTCCCACACTTCTGTTATAGAGGAAGGGCAAATAACGATATTGAAATATTTCTTCTAATTAATTTTCTTTTAATGTGCACAAATTCATGCACCGGGCCACTAGTTCAGTCATAAAAAGGAATGAAGTAGTGATACATGCTTCAACATGAATAAACTTTGAAAACATTATGCTAAGGTAGTGATTTTTAACTGGTATGCTACAAGAATTTTTAAAACATGCAATACCTGACTATTTAGTTAAGAGCACTAACCTCTTTTCCCTTAGATTGTCAAATAAAAAATGACAATAGTGCCCTAGCCAGTTTGGCTCAGTGGATAGAGCGTCGGCCTGCGGACTGAAGGGTCCCAGGTTCGATTCCACTCAAGGGCATGTACCTTGTTGCGCGCACATCCCCAGTATGGGGTGTTCAGGAGGCAGCTGATCGATGTTTCTCTCTCATCGATGTTTCTAACTCTCTATCCCTCTCCCTTCCTCTCTATAAAAAATCAATAAAATATATTTTTTTAAAAAATGACAATAGTCAACACAATAGCTGACCAGTGTGAATGAATCAAAATTATACCTATGTTTTTTGTTAGATCAGCAAAAAATATATATTTTTGGTGTGGCACAGAATTTTAGTAACTAGTTTATGTGTGCCATGAGATGAAAGAAACTGAAAATTGCTGTGCTGCCCTAGCTGGTTTGGCTCAGTGGCTAGAGTGTCAACCTATGGACTGAAAAGTCTTGAATCAATTCCCAGTCAAGGGTTTGAAGATTCAATTCCCCCCACCCCCCTGGGGCACGTGCAGGAGGCAATCAGTAGATGTGTCTCTGTCACATCGATGTTTCTCTCTTTATGTCTTTCCTGTCCCTTTCTACTCTCTCTAAAAATCAATGAAAAATAGCCTCAGGTGATGATTAATGACAACAACAAATAATAAACAAATAAATAAATAGTAAATAGATATTTATTTTAAAAGAACAGAAAATTGCCCTAGCCAGTTTGGCTCAGTGGCTAGAGCATCAGCCTGCGGACTGAAGGGTCCCGAGTTTGATTCCGATCAAGGGCACATACCTTGGTTGCAGATTCCTCCCCGGCCCTGGCCCTGGTTGGGGCACGTGCAGGAGGCAACCAATCAATGTGTTTCTTTTACATTGATATTTCTGTCTTTCCCCCTTCCACTCTCTAAAAAATCAATGGAAAAATATCCTCGGGTGAGGATTAATAAAAAATAAAAGAAAATCACTGTGCTAAGTGAGAGAAGCCAGTAACTAAAATCACATATTGTATGATTCCATTTATATGAAATATCCAGAGTAGCAAATCTAGGATTAAGAGGCAGGTATGAGAGAGGGAAATGGGTTTATTTCAAGGTGATGAAAATGTTCTAACCATAGGTTATAGTGAATAAACTTTGCACAACTCTTTTAAAATCATTGAACTGTACACTTTAAACAAGTCAATTTTATGGTATACTAGAGGCCCAGTGCACGAAATTCGTGCACTCGGAGGGGGGTCCTGGGCCTAAGCTGTCAGTTGGACATCCTTAGAGCTGCTGCGGAGGTGGAAGAGGCTCCTGCCACCACCACTGCACTCATCAGCTGTGAGCCGGCTTTTGGCGCACTGACCACCAGAGGGCAGCTCCTGCATTGAACATCTGCCCCCTGGTGGTCAGTGCGCATCATAGCGATTGGTTGTTCTGCCGTTCAGTCGATTTGCATATTAGGGTTTTATTATATAGGATAAATTCTATTTCAGTAAAGAAAAAAGGTCCGTTTCTCAGTTTTAAATGACTGTTTCTAAAATGCCCTTCAATATAGGCTGGTATCTTTTTTTTTAAGTATTTTTACTGACTTCGGAGAGGAAGGGAGAGGGAGAGAGAGATAAAAATATCAATGATGAGAGAGAATCATCCATCAGCTGCCTCCTGCACGCCCCCTACTGGGGATCCAGCCCGAGACCTGAACATGTGCCCATCAGCAGAATCAAACTTGGGACCCTTCAGTCTGCAGGCCAGTGCTCTATCCACTGAGCCAAACCGGCTACAGCCAGGCCGATATCTTTTTTTTTTAAATATATTTTATTGATTTTTTACAGAGAGGAAGGGAGAGGAATAGAGAGTTAGAAACATCGATGAGAGAGAAACATTGATCAGCTGCCTCCTACACATCTCCTACTGGGGATGTGCCCGCAACCAAGGTACATGCCCTTGACCGGAATCGAACCTGGGACCTTTCAGTCTGCAGGCCGACGCTCTATCCACTGAGCCAAACCGGTTAGGGCCCAGGCCGATATCTTAATACCCAATGCAAAAAGCAATTCTAGGAGGGCCCCAAACAATGTAATACTAGTACATAGCCAATGCAAAAAGCAATTCTAGGAGGGCCCCAAACAATACTACTACATATTTTGCCACATAGCTTTTAAACTCTAATTAGGCCAACACTTGGTATACAATTTCAGGCAATGCTTTGTTCTCCCTCTTCCTCACACTTGGGCTTGATATACTGTTTGAAGGCATTATGGTCTTCTTGAGAAAGTTTATTTGTTCTATTTGAGGAGATTAGAGAGGGTGTGACATTGCTTTAGCACATGCCTACATATGGTTGACAAATGTAAGCACTTGATAAGTTGATTCCAAGTTTCCATTTTCACATTGCGTTAGGAAGTTAACTTTCCATTCTCCCATTTCTCCTGTCTTGCGGATATATAAAGCCTAAGGCAGGGCAAGCTGTTACTGTTCATTATTCTTCCCTGCCTTCTTTTAAAAGTTGGTATTTGTGGATCTGACAGGGTTCTCCTAATAGGATCGTTCTTGCTACTACAACCTATAACCTTTTCATATTTTAGGGCTTTTACTGTCTTAACAGAAGATGCAAATGAAGTTTACCTATTGGTATTAATGGTTTCCTTTTCTCTCACTGAGGAAGAAGAAGGCCTTCTTAGTAATTGGGCTTCTCTCTCACACAGTGAATGAAAGTCACATTGTTGGAAATATGAGCCTCTGTTGTATCTCTAATCCCAGATGGTACATGAATTGTATCCAGAATTGAACAGTTTTATGCCTTTGCCAGCTTAGTACTCCACACCTGGACAAGATATAACCCTTCACTTATAATCCGTTTTTCTCTCCTTTCAAATGCCAGTATGTTATTCAAAGGCCTTTTTTTATTGTTAAGTAATTTAAAACAATTGGACTCCACATAAGTTGCTTGAGAACAATCAGAAGTAAGTTTAGGTATGTTTTTTTAATAGGACCCAGCAGCAGCTCATTTAATACCATCTGAGCTATTACCCAAGAATGGTTGTAATGTTAAATTATTTGACTCTATCTGAATGTCAAGACATAAATTAGCATCTGGCTACTTAAAATCAGGAAAACGCCCTAGCCAGTTTGGACTGAAGGGTCCTGGGTTCGATTCCAGTCAAGGGCACATACCTCAGTTGCAGGCTCAATTCCATGTCCTGGTCAGGGCAAGTGCAGGCGACAACCAATCCATGTGTCTCTCACATGGATGTTTCTCTCTCTGTGTCTCTCTCCCTCCCTTCCACTCTTTCTAAAAGTCAATGGCAAAGCATCCTCGGGTGAGGATTAACAACAAAAAAGTAAATAAATAAAAAAGTAAAAAGCATAAAAAAATAAAATCAGGAAAGCAACATAACTCTTGGTTTCTATAGTCAGCTTGACTGACTCCATGGACTTAGGTGTAGATGCCATTAGCTGAAAGGTTCCCGTGCTCCCTGAAATGTTAGAAACTCTCCTCACCTCACATTGCCCCTGCCCCCAGGAGCCCTGATTTTTCACAATAATCCTCTTGCTTCTCTAATTAGTGGACTTTTATTATGGATGGGAATAGTCTAAAAGGTAGGACCCCAGGATGTCTGCTGGCAGCATTGCTGTTGGTTTACTCACTCGTTTTCTGTCTTCATTTTTGCATGCCACTGCTCCTGCCTCTTACAGCCACAGTAGAAGCGGTAGAGGCCCAGGAAGGTATGGCCATATTCCTGTGATAGATGTGATCATGTGTCTGTCTACTGGTTTTAAAAAGCTTTGTCTACATTTGAAATCTTTTATTATTGCATCACCAGAACTGTAACCGTGAGAAAAGGAATGGGTATTTCTAGGCATGCTCACAAAGTATTACAAATGACCCTCTCCACAGCTAAAGTCCTTTCTGGGCTGTTTTAATGCAATGGCTGAAGTGTAGGCAACTGGTCAAGAGGGACCAAGTGGGTTAATCCTCTAGCTCAGCGGTTCTCAACCTGTGGGTCGAGACCCCTTTGGCGGTCAAACGACCCTTTCACAGGGGTTGCCTAAGACCATCCTGCATATCGGATATTTACATTACGATTCATAACAGTAGCAACATTACAGTTATGAAGTAGCAACGAAAATAATTTTATGGTTGGGTCACAACATGAGGAACTGTATTTAAAGGGCCAGAAGGTTGAGAACCACTGCTCTAGCTCTTCCATATATAAGAGATTACTAGAGATTCAAACAGGCCAACCTCTTTATCCAACGATAATAAGAGCAGAGGCAAGAGTAGACAGGAAGTTAATTTGGTTAATTTCTGAGGTTGGCCTAAGGCAGTCAAGCTAAATTATCTTTGTTTCTATGAAAGCAAATTTGAAGTAACAAATAATCTGCAAATCTGTGGATGAAAACCATTGTAATTCATATTGTTTTATAAATTTGTTTTATTAGGTAAGGTGATTCAAAATGGGAATGGTTTCCTTGACAATACAAAAGTTCAATCAAAGAAAATATCTAAAAGCTATTGTTTAGATGGCTTTTAAGTTATGTTCAGCTCCTGGTTGTGCAAGATAAAAAGCTGTCCTTATAAACAAAAAGACTAGTTCTTTTGTTACTTTTTTTCTGTGGTCAATGTGATGTTTGTGCTTAAGTAACTACTCTGTTTAACCTGTTCTATTATTCTAGCATTTCCTTTTTCTCTCTCCCATTGAGCACGTTTCTGGCATAAGAAACTCTTTCCCAAATGTTCTGGGACTAAGGAGGAACTTGTTTCCTTTTTGTCAGGTATACTTCTGCTATATCTAATTGTGTTGTGCTCCTATGAAAATTACTTTCACAGTTTCAGCTGCCCTGGGGGCCTTAAGAATTGGTAGCTTTGCCCTGACCGGTTTGGCTCAGTGGATAGAGCGTTGGCCTGCGGACCAAAGGGTCCCAGGTTCGATTCCAGTCAAGGGCATGTACCTTGGTTGCGGGCACATCCCCAATAGGGGGTGTGCAGGAGGCAGCTGAT